GGTGTAAACAGGGTCAAAAACTCTTCTCGATAGTCAAACAGAATCCTTATTGGTGCTATATGGTGCAATATTACAGCCAGAAAGAGGGGAATAAAATGATATAGGTGTGAATTCTGTGGCTTACACTCCCCACTCAGCAATCAAAAACACTTATTAGGACAAAAAGTTACTTTTATGGTACAGAAACAGTCTTCAGCATGAATTTGAGAAAGACCTGCCAGATAGCTGTCAAACCTTGCACGTAAAATGGCTTTGGATTTCAGGGAGATGACCAGCTGCACATTTTGCTTAAATCTGTTAACTACCTAAAAATCTGTTACATTTTACCTTGAATAAACCTACACCTAAATTTAATCCTAACTGAAGTTGCCATGGTGACTAAACAGATAGGATAAGATTTCAGAGTTAGGATTTTTCTGTAATGCAGCCTCAAACTTCTGAATATTGTCAGGTGTGTTTTATCATTCAATGTGACTAAGATCCACCTACTTTGGCAGGAAAGAGGACTTCGACTGACGTGCGAAACGACCAACCACAAGCCACTGTTCTTGTGTTTCAGAGGGTTTGTGAGTCCGAGCCTCTCTTTTGTGATTTTCTACACAAAAACTCTTCTCAATAGTCAAGCAGAATCCTTAGTGGTGCTATATGTTGCAATATTACAGCCGCCAAGAGGGTGAATAAAATAATATAGGTGTGAATTCTGTGACCTACACTCCTAACTCAGTAAAAAAAGGAAAAGGAAAAAAAACTATTTTTATGGTATGAAAACTTCAGCATGAATCTTGAGAAATGCCTGCCAGATAGCTGTCAAACTTTGCGGGTAATATCGCTACGAGATTACAAGATAACAAAAAGCACATTTTGCTCATGTGTTTAACTACCCAAAAAATTTGACACTACTCTGCATTAGGTTGTGTTCCCTATGTTTTTATTATGCTAGCTAGAGTGAGGTATGCCACTACTTGTTAGCTACATTAGGCACATAGTGCCATTGAAAAACTAAAGAAGCAAACTTCAATGGTAAACACATCTTGGCTAAATGAACAGAATTAAAGTAAAAGCAAAAAGTAGTTTTCATCCTATACATTCAGGACACCAGAGCTTGTCAAAGGCTCCACAGTATCAGGTTGAAAATACATTTGGCAGATGATATCTTTGAATATAACAAGATGGCATGGATCTTATCTCAGTTTTTGTGGTTTCGCTTGTAGTGATTAAGCTTAAAATTCAGGTAGGAGGAGCTTTTGTAGTGGTTGAGGTGAGGATTTGGGCATGAGGAGCAGAATAAAGGAAATGGAACAGAATAACAGTATTCATAATTTGAGCATTAACATAATTAGCCCCAGTGCAGATCCTTTTAGCATGTTTTTCGGTCATATTATCATGCATTAATGAATCAGACGTCAAGCCTCTCTAAGGATGATGTGTGTGTGTCCCATTCCAGTCACACTTACCTGTCACTTCACTCCATTTCAGGTTTCAGGCCAGTTTTTTTTTTATTTGTAGGTGAATGGCATGAAGCAAGTAAGGGAACTCAATTTAGAAAAGACAGGACTCCTCAAACCCTCCTTCATCTGATGCTCTACCAGAACACAGCAGTTGCTAAAAAAGCTCTTTAGTCTTATTTTTAACCCACAAGTGTAATATTTCTAATTGCTTGCAGAAAATTATAACTCACCAAATTACATGCTTGCATTTTTGGATATCGTCTGATTACCTGACGTCAAATATGCACGCTGCAAATCATTTCAGAGTGCGTTTTTCTCAGCCACTGGGCTTCGAGGCTGCAGCTGGAGCTCCTTGTTTCTGAGATCAGTGCCAGCATGCTCCCTCTTTCGTCGCTCAGAGTCAGGAGGTCACTTATTATACTCACTCTCATTAACACTTTAACCCTTAGAAGTCGAAGGTGATAACAAAAGCGTGAATTTATTTGCTAGTAAATAGAAGAGGAGAAATTTTATTATGATTTAAATTTGATGAAAATGCGCATTCTTGTTTTTTGCCATATTTTTGTCAAGGCTTCACTTTGAAATAAAAAGTTTTGAATGTCAACACAGAATGTAAATTGAATGCAGATGTAATTATTAAGTTTGCATTTATGTGCTTATATTTAAATAGCATAGTAAAGTGAAAGTAATATCTGACTTCTAAGGCTTAATGGAGCAAGGGATGTATGGGCTTGGGATTGGGAGGGGGTTGGGAATCATCATTGGCTAATGGTTGTCAACTGTTGTAATGTGGACATCATGTTTCACACATTTTTATGGCTTCCCTGCTCTAATATACCCCATTCAACTTACTCTTGCAAACCAGGGGCCGTATTACAGATACTTCCTATATTTTCTCCTAAGGTAGGAACCCACTTTTTTACAATAAGCATCCATAGCAAGATGCCAGTGAAGTTTATCTAGCAGAGCCCTAGCAGAGAGAGCTAAAATTGACCAAAAATGGGACAATAGGAAGAATCGAAGGTGATCTTTGTGTGCATGATTTCAGTAAACAATATCATCCAAAATGCCCTATTTTCTTGACTTCAGTTCAACATCCATTTTAGGGAAGATAGAGAACTAGGTAAAAGGCTAGAGGTAGTAAAGGTTAGGGCTAGCCGCAGGGGTAGGCTATGTGGGCTATATTAAGTTTAGGAGTAGTTGTAGGGCTTTCTTACATTCTACAGTGTGTGATTGTTTGAGGTAGGGGGTAGCTGTAGGGGTACGTTATGTAGGGTAGGGTAGGCTGTGATTAATTAAGGTTAGGCACAGGGTGAGATATATTTACCTCAGTCTGTCCTTTGCGGTTATATCCACCAGGCACCGCCGACTGAGAGCCACTGGTGTAGTGTAGGTGAATCTGTGCATGCTCTCAGTGGAATGTAATTGTATCTCCCCCTGCTGGTTCAGTATTGCATTACAGATAATTACCAAATACGCAACCCATTAGTGCAGTGCAGAGTGCTATTCTATACCCATTATAGAGGAGGAGGGGGTTATCATATCTCTCGCTGCCCTCTCACACTCCGCCTGCCATGGACGCATTTACACACACACATTCCCTATCTCACATACACACTCATATACACACATACGCACACATACACCATACGCCCCTCCAGAAACACAATCTCAAATACATACACATCACAGAAATTTTCTCTCATTCTCTCACATACACTCCGTTAAATTCTCTGCCCTAATCTCTTGATCTGGTGTGTATGTATGTGTATGTGTATGTGTGTGTGTGTGTGTGTGTGTGTGTGTGTATGGAAAGTGTGAAAGCGCACCCCCCTCTCTCTCTCAGCACAGCCACACTAAGACTCTCTCAGCTGTCAGCCTGTCATGTGCCTTCCATGCATGTATTAGCATTAATTTCAGTTTTTGTACTCGCAGACAGAGCCTTGTGTTTAAGCATTAGCATTCACTGTATTAGGACTGAGGTGTTTACCGTATTTATTATTTAAGGGAATTGAGTTTTGGTAATTTATTTCTGAAAAAAGTTGTGACTCGAGGCACTTTGCGGCTACTGTAAAAAGGACCAGAGCCTTCTACAACAGCTATAATGTACACACACACACACACACACACACACACACACACACACACACACACACACCCATCTATTACAGACTTTCACAAACACACTACAGCACAGCATTGATAAAGACCTCTGAAGTCATGTCCTCATTCTGTAGTCAGCACCATTCCCATATTAGGAACTCTGGGCTTAAGCAGGCTTTCTCTATGGGAAAAATGAATGGCGTCCCATTAAATCCCCCCATTTAGCAGTTACAATACAAATAATGCTACATACATGCCACAAGGAAGCTTACACATTTAAAGCAGCACTATGTAATATTCTTCTTTAAAACTGAAAGAAGCAGCATTACTGAGTATGGAGAAAAAAGAACACACTGCTGTGAGTCACCCTGTAAAGCCTGAAATAATCATTTAGACAAAGTCAGAGATACCAGAATGGATTTGGTGGGAGTTTTTCAGACCACGTCATATGCCTTTATGTATTAACATGCACAGGCTGGAAAAGGTCTGACTTAATATTTAGGTCTCAAATGCAAATCAACATTATACTAATATTAATGTGATGACAATGGTAGATCATTCACTCACATTATCAAAAGACACATCCTTCACCAAGTTTTGAGTTCTCTTCAAATACTCTTTCAACACACTTGCAAAAGTAAGATTCATCCGTTTGTGGGCTTCTGACGTCACGAAATGTTCTTCTGCACGTTGTGTGCAGTTACATATTTGCACTAGAGAGGTCTCCAGATCCCCAAAGCTTACATAGTGTTGCTTTAAATGACGCCACATACTCAAACTGAAGGCTACTGCTGGTAAAGCAGCTTAACTACCATATTTGGCAAAGCTCATTGGTTTGTGTTGGCTTTTTTGATAAGGTTGCTGGTCTCGTGATATCAGTTCAATGCACAGCAGTGTTAGCTTGCATGAAAAATATTACTAGGAAAAATATACAAAACTAAAAGTTTGAAATGACAAAACATATTGGATTTTTGTGTACCAACTAGTGCAGCAGTGATTGCTTTTGAGGAAATGCCCTTCATTTGTCCCGTAGAGAAAACCAAAAAAAGTAGCTTATATGAGCATATCGCTGACTACAGAGTGACAACACAACTTCAGAGGTCTATCATTTCTGTGTATTGAGACAGTAAGGGGAATACAGTTTCAGATAAATTGAGCTGATTCAAATGTGCATCATTTTCCATATCAATAAACTATATTGCATCAGCACTGCTAGTAAGTAAGAAAGCTGAAAGACAGAACTGTGTAGATGTACTATATATTATTCATGCGGAAATGATTTCAATCAAGTAAATTCAGTACATCAGATTTTCAGTGTAGTCCGTGTTATTTATTACTTGCTCTGTGGTGAGGTTCTTTTATTGTGAAGTTGCTTCATCTCAAATAAATGTTGGAACAAATATGAATTGCTTTAATATTGATCTCTCTCTCTCGCTCTCTCTCTTTTAGGCCCACGTCCTTCACATGGCAGAAGAAAGACGGAGAGCTCCCCCCTCAGGTGAAGGCTGATGGTGCGTTCTTGCGCTTTGAGGCACTCAACAAATCTGATAATGGAGTTTACCTCTGCCAAGCAGACAACGGCATCGGCCCGGGAGAAGGATCTTACACCCTGCTGGTGCAAGGTAATGAAAGAGTGTGAAAAAAGAGATGGATGGATGAGAGACGACAGGACTGGCTTTTGCTGCCCTTTGTTTTAATGTCATTTTCTTTCTGCACTGAAAAAAGTGATGCTATGAATTTCATTGATTCAGATTTATACATCATGTCCACAAGAAAGAAATCTGTTACATCAACACATTTATTGTCTTTCAGTTTACTTACTTAATGTCAGTGATTGACCTGTCCATGGTCCATCCATAAATGTGCTCTTTTGTTTGAAATGTTGCGAGGTTTGCAGAGCATTTGAAAAAATCCTATTCAACCAAATAAACTGTGGCGCTTTTCATTTAGAGACACTACATAACACTGAGTTTTGAGTGTGTAGTGCTATATTGTCAAGATGGACCATGTTGTTGTCGGTAATCAGAGATGCATTTGCCCCCATGTTAGCAAGAATCTCATTCAATCCACTTAAAAATCTAGTCTAATGAGTTGTTGTCAGAATATGTGCATTTGGTTTGTGTGTGTCATTAATTTATTTAATTTCAAATCATATTTCTTGTGTGTGGAAAGTCATTATTTGCATGAAACTAAGGTTTTTAGGGAAAAACATCTTTGCTAGCAGAAAATTGAATGGCTTTAGCAGTTAATGTGGTAAGATAGTGTAGATCAGGTGTAGTTTTTTGTTGTATAACTTTTTTTTATGCTGTAATGTTGGCAAGTGTGATGTAGGTAACAACATCATCTTAGCTTAAAATAACCTAGCTAGCTAACAATGTTAAATTAGCGATGTCTGTATATATGGTAAGTATGATGTAGGTTACAGCATTAGCTCATCTTAGCTTGACCTAGGAAGCTACCAGTGTTAAATCAGCTATGTTGGTACATATTGGAAGTAAGATGTGGGGTTACAACATTAGCGTAGCTTAGCTTAACCTAGCTTGCTAGCAACATTAAATCTAAACTAAAGCTGGTAAACTTTTTTGCTTAGTCTATGAATCAGATGTTTATCCTTAAAAACCTTAAAAACTGTGATTTCAGAACAGAAACATCACACCTGATCTGTCGTAACAGTGTGACCTTTCAGGTGCATCCAAAATGAATATACTTTGAAATTATTAATGCACTCTAAACGTATGTGCCTGATTAGTGCATTAGCATTACAGGTAAGTTTTAACTTGATCTTTGCCAACGTTCTGTAAAGCTTGTCCAACTTTCCGGTAGCTACAAAAGAACGCATTTGTGGGCTGAGCATGGAGTTAAATCATGTTGACTTAATGTATTTCAGTGGAAATGATGTAAGCATTTTAGTCAAGTGCGTTCAGTGCATCACTTACTTCCGTGTGTTTCTGTTGTCAGCTTTACTTTCATCCTTTTTTTCTGAATTTATGTTCCTTGTTTCTTTCTCTTTCTTTCTGACACACGGTTTGTTTACATTTTCCGTTTTTTCTTTGCCCCGCCCCCATCCATATACATCACCATATCTCTCCATCCCCCTTTTTCATTTGTTTTTGTGCCATCTTCCAAGAACCAGAGGATTTCAGCCTCCTTTTCCCCTCTTTTACTTCTCCCTCACTTTCTCCCACCTCCATTCCTCCAGAACTTTCTACCCTTCCCTCTGATGACTTTTCCACTCCTCCGTTTCCAACCTTGACCTCATCTCTCCCTCCATCTACCGATTCTTCTTCTTCCTCTTCCTCTACTCCTTCTACTTCTTCTCCTCTGCCGTCTTCCTCTGCTTCACTCCCTCCCTCCACCTTCCCCTCTACTGTCAGTCTTTCCACCAATCTCTCCAATGCCCTCTTTCCTAACCTCTCTACTCCTGGCACCTCCTCTGTCCCCTCCTCCACTCCTCCTCCTCCATTGTTCCCCTCTTCCCTTGCTCCCTCACTCCTTCCCACCAATATCACTCCATCCATGGTTACCCGGCTGAATGGAGTGTCCATTACAGGTAATTCATTCCAGTAACTAACACACAAACACAGACATACTTGAATAAAGTATTTCTTATGTGATCCTAGTGCTCGAGTTAGATGCTAGTAAAAATTGTTAGAAAGGTTTAAAAAAATAAAGAATTGTTTGACATGTTTGGGATGATAAATGGATCTGTACATGATTCTAGAATAACTGAGTAAGCTGTATAACATTGTGGCTGCATTCAGATGGAACATATTCTGCAAAAAAAAAAAAAGTTTTGCAAAGCAGACAAGGAGTTCGACACCACATCACACTAAATTGATAGACTAAAGAATCTGCACTTTTTGGAGGAGAAAGGCAAGGAAAAAAAGTCCAGCATATTTTGTTCCTCCTACTCAGCTAATGTGAACATTGGCAACGTTAGCAAGTATCTTGAACCAGAGGCATAGCCAAAGGTAGAGCTGAGCTGGTCTAATGGGGAAAGAATACTTATTATGCCATTTTTTGTGTTATTGTTTTTTCTGTGAGTGCTGTCATCGTATTATGGCCAATGATCATCAATAAATCCTTACGCTCTCCCTCAAGCTCCACTTTCTTTTCTCAGCCCTCCAATCACTGCGCGGTAACTGGAGCACAGCAACTCAAATCACTGCTATCTGCCGTTGCCTCAGGCCAGTTCATTATTAGTGAGCCAGTGTTTGAATTTGAAGCTCTGTGTTTACAAGTGAGATTTCGTCCTGTAGAGTATTTCGTTTTCCACCCATCCAAAGCTGAAAAAAGACATGGTCGTCAGTTTTCTGTCATCATCAGTTTTAATACAAAGGCTGAAATGGGCTTTGTGAAAATGAGGTCTAACGTTACTTCAATGAATCAAAGATAAGATGTGAATGGACCATAAATATATTTTATGCCTGCCATGGCAATGTGTGTTTGGTTTTGGTGATCAGGTTTAGGCTTTGAAGTTTGCTTCGTTGTTTTTCTTTGTCTTTGACACATCTCAGCTCTCTAATTTTAACTGTCATGTCATCTTCTTTGGGTCCACCCACTGTGGCAGTATGTTTTAGCCTAGGATGATCAAGTTTAGGTTTTTAACTTTGCTTTGTTGTTTTTCGTCATCTTTGCACATCTGTTTGATTTTAACTTTATTATTTCATCTTCAGTGGGCAAACATTCCTGTGGTGATCATGCATGATTTATAGTCTTTATAGTAAATGGTGTTGCAGTGTTTGTTGAAGTGTTAAAATAGACAGGGTGATGACTGCATGGCTGTCAGAAATAGGCTATCGCCTGATGTAGTGACAATGGGGGGCATTACCTTGTTTACCAAATAGACTTACCCACTTTTTCACAGGCCAACCCATATGCCAGTACCTTGAGCACTACACCCAGCAAGTAAAATGACACAACATTGTATTTCTACATAAAAGTGAATTACTCACCAAGCTTCAGGGATGGGGAGAACTCTTTGTCTATTTGTCAAGGTCTTTTAACCAACCTCAGTGAGGAATGTAGAGGATGGTACATTTACCAGTGAAATAATATTTATTTTCAAACTGATTTTTTAATTGCAAATGCTAGCAAAATTGTTGTACTGTACAGCCCCGCAGTCGCTCTCCGGTTTAGCTTTACCCACACTCTTTTTTAATTACCTCATGAAGGGTGACACAAGAGTAGCTGAGCCTTTCCATTTAAGTTGAACAATTTTCACAATCAGTGTCAAAAAGAAGAAAAATCAAACCAGGAAAAAATCTTCTTGAATAAAGCCACATTTTTTGCCAATATGGTGAGAACATTTGATTTAATAAGATTTATAAGAAAAAAGATTTTGTGCTGTAAATGATCTTGTAAAATTAAAACCAGTTCATATTTCATTGGTTTAAGACACTGTGGCTGGATTTAAGTAATGGTAATTTGCTCTGGTGTCATGATAGTAATCTGAAATTGAGAAATGAAATAAAACTACCACATAAATCTTGTTTTAAGCATCTGTACTCATTTAGTACAAAGCTATTGCGATTACAATGCTTGAATAAACTCAATATTAGGAAAACTTTGCTTTTAATTAAGCAAAAATTAAATCAAGTCTTTATTGATTACAATAATTGCATTCCTGAACACACTTTCAAAATGAGCCATTAAATGTTAAAAAAGCCTTGCATTATAAACTGCTTTAAGAGATAAACACTGGCTTTAAAAAGGACAGAAATAAATAATCCAGCTGCCCATGTTGTGACCACAAAAATTAAATCTTAACAAACCAGAAAATCTTGAAAATGAACAATAGATGTTGCTTTTTTATTTTAAGATAAACACACTAGTCTAGATTTGTGTGTGTGTGTGTATATATATATATATATATATATATATATATATATATATATATATATATATATATAGCCTTAAAGGTTTTGCTTTCCAGTATGAAAAAGAAAAAAAACCTTCAAGACAACTTCACTTATTTTAGGAAAGCAACTTGTAATTAAATTCTCAAAATGTATAAAAATTTCAAAAAAAGTCCAGTCTGTTAATCTTTAAATACAACAGCAATCTATTGTTCAAGTTTCAAGATTTTCTGGCTTGTTAAGATATTATTTTTTGCAGCGTGTAGCCCAAAAGTACACAATCCGGAAGGTGTGGAATGAGCAGAGCCTGCCGAATCTGCCTCCTGACATAGAATATAATGGCATTTTGCGTGGAATATGTTCCACTGTCTGAACGCAGCCTGATAATGTGTATGAATTGTGGAAGTTATAATAAAATTGACCTATACATGTTTCGCAAACAAAAGCTACAGTTGTGAGACTGGACAGCCTTTTTGTGTCCAGATTTAGCAGTTAGCATTCTCCACCACATGTTTTGAGCTGTACAATGATGCTGTGTTAGCAGCAGTTTGAAAAGATGTGGTGGCGCTTCATGTATTCCTTGCAGACTGGTAGCATCGTGTAATAGGGGGCCTAGCAAGTGGGTGGTAAAAGGCTAGGACTAAATTGCAGGAAAAACATTGGGTAAAAAATTAGCCTAATGAGAAATTGTAATGATCTTTCGGTTGAAAGGTCTTTACAATTCAAATGATCAAAGAAAAAAATTTGACGGTTTTTCACTGGGTTGAATGTTTATTTTTTCCAACTTTCTGTAAATGTAGCAACAGTTGCTATGAAAGAATGCATTTTTGGGCAGAGCACAAAATGGTCAATATGCAACATACATTGTATTTTGTGGTAATGAAATCTCATGGCAAGAAATTACTATACATAGATAATTATTTATCATTAATTAACTTGAATGCTCCTAAAATACTTCAGATATTACAGTCGTGTGCAAAAGTTTGGATGCACCTGGTTGAATTTCTAGGTGAAAACAGGTGTGCATTCTTTACAGAGAACACAAGTTTGTTTATTTGCTGAATGTAACATATTGGGAAAAAAATACAACATAAAATGTGGCCTGTACAAAGTTATGGCATATTTAGTGTCAGGTTTTATTTCTTTTCAATATGTTAAATTCAGCAAATAAATAAAAATTGTGCACTAAAATTTACAGAAAATTTCCATATTTAAGTTTGTTTCCTGTAGAAGATGTATTTTGACCAGGGGTTTAAACATTTGCATAAGACTGTAAATAAAACACCTAGAAATATCTTATGAGGTTTTGAGCTAAATTGCAGTGACAATAGTGATTCACTACTGAAAATTCATTGTAAGTTTAGGCTTTATTCTACACTGCGTAAGTGCTTTTTGAATGAAAGAAACTTTTGAATGGTAGTGTACATTAGTTTTAATAGGCTACTATTATAATGCTAATTACAAAAGCTCAATTTGCTGTAACAAACTTGATTGCTTTAAGCACTCTGAGTGTATGTGTGTGGGTGCGCTCTGCGTGAGAGCGGAGCAGAGATAGGCACTTATCTTCAGAGCGGAGGGAGACGATGGCTGTATAATACGAGCACCTAGCGTGCGCGGCATCTGCTGTTTGATTCAGCAATAATGCGGGATTTAACACATCAGTCGCTACAAAGCCAAGATTATCCTGCGTACACAATCTAACATAACACCTAGCTTCTACTACATGGCTTAACAAAGCTCTGGCACCCGCTCAGCAACATTTGGTCTGGTTATTTCATTATATAGCTACAGTTGCTAACACTTGTAATGGAAGTTGTAGTCACACTCCAAAAAAGTGATGTCTTGGCAAGTGAAAGCATCTTAAATGCAGGAATTATAGCTAATGTTTCTCATTATGCTGATACACAGTGATGTTATCTTATAGCACTGCCAGATACTTTAAGAATTATTCTCTGAAACAAGCAAAATTAGCAGCCAAAGCAGGACAATAATTTCACTTGATGACTATAATTACTGTAATTAATATAATTACTTACAGAAAAAATGAAATTTCCTCACTTTCTTAATTAAAAATTTGATGTAGGGTGTGAACATCCTTTAAGTTTCAAAACATGCCTCTCCTTCTTCTGCATGCAAAAGTTTATGCACCCTAATCAACATGTTTTGTTGATTTTCTAAGAAAAAATAAGTGAACAGATCCTCTACAGAGAACACACTCCTGCACATTTTAATACACAGATATGGTTTATTTGCTTAATTTAGCATAATAAACATAAAACGTGGCCTGTGCAAAAGGTGGAGGCACTCAAAGAAGTGTTTACTTGGATTCTCTGCTCTTAAATAAGCCAATATGAACTGAGCTGTACTGTCCAAAAGTATCCATGCACTTGTTCTAATTAGTGAGTTAGTGAATTAACTACTCTACTTTTGTTTAATTGCGAGCACACAGCTTGTATAATTTCCATAGAAAAGCACTGCCAATAAAATGGGACACTCTGGAGCAGCTGCACATCAGCCTAAGATCACCGTGCGTCCACTAGAGGGACATAAAGCCCCCCAGCATTGCGCTGTGGAGCAGTAAAACTGTGTTCTCTGGAGTGACTGAGCTCCGTCCAGTGCCTTTGGGATGAGCTGGAGTGGAGTGTGATCCAGAGCTAATCATCCAATAACAGTACCTGACCTCACTGAATGCAATCAGATCCTCACAGCGATGTTCCAACATCTAGTGAAGCCTTCTCACTGTTACAGGCTGTTACTGCAGCAAAGGGGGAAAGATTTCCTATTAATACTTTTGATTTCAGAGGAAACGCTGAATGAGCAGAAATCTTAAAAGATGGAAAATAACAGAAAAAATGTTTTATCGTACGCAGTGGTTTGTTGGTTTTAAATTCTCAATCTAATGACAGTGTTAATGACATACTGCATCCACTTAAGACATTAGATAAGATTTCTTGTCATGTGAATCAGTCAAACGTTACAGACCTCCTGTGTAAAATTACATTACCCTACCTCCCCATGTGAAACTAATCCCACCCAAACAGTACTCCAAAGGCGCAGTGACAAAAATTTTGATCCACAGCGGGTAAACAGAGATTGGAAAATGGCCATGTAAAAATGAATTATGAGTGTTTTTGGTACATAAACTTTCACATTCATCTAAGTGGACATTAGGGGGAAAATGCAGACCCTTGAAAGTAAGTAAAAATGTCAAGAAGTAGGGTAAATAACCTTCTAATATTCTAACAGTGATCTGATCATGAGAAATGTTGTATACACAGTCATATGCAAATGTTTGAATACGCCAAATTACGTTTAGTTAATTTTCTAAGCATAAATGTGGCACATTTTAGTGCACACGTTCTATTTATTTGCTGAGTATAAGATATTGGGAAAAAAAGAAAATATCAAATATAAAATGTACAGGCTACATTTTATGTTTTTTTTTTTCAATGTTAAATATAGCAGTGCATTAAAATGTGCAGAAGTGTGTTCTCTGTAGAAGATGTGTTAATTTATTTTCACTTAGAAGATCAACAAAACATCATTTGACTTGGGTGACAAAACTTTTGCACATAACTCTATCACCTACATTTAAGATGCTTTCGGTATTTCAGTGTAGTTTTTGCATTCTGAAGCAGGGACACACACTCACCTACATAGTCTCTCTCTCTCCCTCCCACACACACACACACAGACACACACACACACACAATCACATGGCCTCACACACACATCTCTCAAAAAGTCATCTGTTTTCATCTACTCTTTTTGTTCCTTTTTCTCTTCGCACTCCTCCACATCTGATCCCTCGTTTACGCGGCACTCCGTCTATAAATCCATCCATCCATTCATCCACCTATCCATCCACCCATCCATTCATCCATCCAGCCATCCATCCATCCTCTCACGAAGAAGCTGCAGACAACGCTGCAGGTATTGTCTTCAGTCACCTGTTTGTTTGTCTGTTTCTTTTTGTCTCCGTTTTTCTCTCTGTTTTTCTCTTTTTCCTCCTCTTTCTTGTCCCTCTGTCTCTTCTTTTTTGTGCTTTGTGGTATCCCCTCCTGTTTCTCCTTTGGCTCCTTTCCCACACCTTTTTTTCTGTCTGTCTTTCTGCCAGAGGGGCTTCAGAATTTAATTTTGAAAACATTTTTCAAAGCGCAGGACTGTGAGTCAAGCATAAGTTGTCATTCTCCGAGGATAGGCTAACTGAAACTGACTGATGTGAAATATTCTCTCGGGCTGAAGAGTAAGTGGCAGAATCTCAGTCTCAGCCTTTATTTATGACTTTTGCAACAGAACTGACTACAAAAAAACAACTGTCTGTCTGGACTCAACGCGCCTGTAGAAAATATACACTTAATAATAGGAACAGAAACTATTTAGTTTCACTACACTCTGAAAAATGATGGTTCTTGAAGGGTTCTCTAGTAAATAAAATGGTTCTATATAGAACCATGAACACTCCAAGAAGCCTATGTGTGATTAAAGGGTTCTTTGCAGCGTTAAATGGTTAAATGGAATGTGCTACAGATCGTTCTATATATAACCCTTTTGAAAAGGTTCTATATAGCATCATTATATTATATTATATTATATTATATTATATTATATCATATTATATTATATTATATTATATTATATTATATTATATTATATTATATTATATTATATTATATTATATTATATTACGTTACGTTACATAGGGCGGCATGGTGGTGCAGTGGGTAGCGCTGTTGCCTCACAGCGAGAATGGCCTGGGTTCGATTCCCGCCCGTGTGACCAGGGTCATTTCTGTGTGGAGTTTGCATGTTCTCCCCGTGTCTGCGTGGGTTTCCTCCCACAGTCCAAAAATATGCAGTTAAGCTAATTGGACACACAAAATTGCCCCTAGGAATGTGTATGTCTGTCTGTCTGTCTGCTCTGCGATGGACTGGCGACCTGTCCAGGGTGTATCCTGCCTTCCGCCCAGTGACAGCTGGGATAGCCTGCACTTTCAAATGGCTCCAGCACCCCAACCCCGAAGGATAAGCGGTTTAGAGTATGTATAATGTAATATAATATTCTGTTATTCCCATTATTACACATCATTAGTGTTTTGTTAGTCTGTTAATTTTGTTAGTCTATTAATCTTTCTTAAAGTTGCTGCTCACCAGGCCACACAGCATCCAAAAATTTGAAATCACTGACTTTAATGTATTGCAAAAAGAAATAAATCACATAATGTGCACTGTGTAAAGTTATGGCACATTTTTTGTTTTATTTTTTTCAGTCTGATAAACTTAGCAAATAAAATATGCACTAAAATTAGCAGAAAAAACCTGCATTTTAAGTTTGGATGTTGTAACTTGTTTTCACTTTGAAAATCAACAAAACATGTAGCATATTTAATATACAACATAGTAGTAAGGCAGCCTAATGCAAACCTTCCTCAAAGATGAATCAGGCATTAGGTGTTTGAGTGTAAAGATCAGCTCTTTGTAGATATATAACAGGTACAAAGGTCTGCCTTTTTTGCTTAGGTGTCCTCCAGGACACCTTGATTTCTCTCCAAATACGTGCCTGCAAGCTGAAAGTGCTTATTTTCCGGTCCAGGGTCAAACGCACACATTGGCTCATGAGAAATGAACACATCGCCTGCACTTTCAAATGTTTACCTCACATAAAGGCCACTATTACTCAGAAAGGCTCCAGGCTAATATTACTCAATGTTTATTCTTATATTAGAACGTAAAACATAAGAATTTCAAAGGCATCTTTTAGGAGAGGTTGTATGGCGAGATAAGTGTCTCCAAATGCTGGTCTTTTAGTGTATTCTTTATTCCAGCACACCTGACTCAAATCATTGGCTAATTAACAAATCCTTCCTGAGTCTGAGCAGGGAAAACACTACAATTTGCACTGCAGGCGCACCAGGACTGGGAAAGACTGACCTAGATAATGCTCACTGAACAGACTAACAATCAAGCCTCTTTCTGTAGCTAGAAATGGGTTGTTTTTACACAGTAATCATAAGTGCAAGATTTCTTTTAGATGTCTAAAATCAATCTGAAAGGAGAATATAACATAAATGTGTTCTCGATTTGGTGTTTTGTTCTAATTTAAGGTAAAATTTGTAGTTGAGGCACTTTGTAACTGATGCAGAATTTTAAAGGTAATGTGTTGTTTATATTAAAGGAGAGTTCAACTGATTTTTCAAAATATGCAGAATTTAGTGGTTAAGATATAATTATTTGAAGCAGAACTGAAACAAATTCCTTCATGACTGGTTTTAAACATGCTGTCAAACTTAGCAAATAAAGCTGGCAATGAATAAACACTAACAGTTGCACGATGCTAACTGACATATGCTATCTTTTGTTCATTAGTTGTAGTGTTATCATTTTTGCATGTACTCTTTTAATGACTGGCTATATATTATCACAGCAAAATTTGCCATGCTATTATTGCTATTGGACTCCTAAATGAGCCGTAATTGGAATTAGATGAATCGCTGTTGGCTATGAGCTAACAGAATCGTTTCAAAATTGGCCTTTAATAATTCAGTAAAGCAATTCTCATTCAGTGGGAGCAGTGTAGGGACATGGGGCACCCACTCATTCACTCATTCAATTCAATTACGTTTTATTTGTGGAGTGCTTTTTTTCTGTCATAAAGCAGTTTCACTGAAATATGAGCCTAGACCCTTAATGAGGAACACTGGTGGCAAACAGTGACAAGAAAATCTCCCGGGCGAAAACACTGAGAGAAACCCAGACTCAGGAAAATTACACTTACTAAATAGTTAACAGTAATTATTGACACTGATAGTAGTAGCTAACGTTCGGGTAGACTTATCTTGACAGCTAGCTAGGTTGCTAGTAACATAAACCTCTTTCTGAGTTTGTGAGTCAGGAGACCAGATGCAGTGATGTAGTTCTCTACTCAATTGTGACATCAGCTATGGCCCAGTCTGTGTTTGACTGCTGCTCTGTCATGCTCTTGTCTGCGAGTTCTACCCCAGAACCCATGCTGGTCTGACATGCACTGTCTTCTGCAAATCCCAGTTTTCAGAGTTCTGTCCTCTGCAAACCCTGGGCTGAAGAACCCTGGTCTGCTGCTGGCTGATGCTGGTGCCTCAGACTCTGGAGGTGTGACTAGGCAGATGGCCACATGCAAAGGCTCATGGCAGCGCGCACCCTTCAACAAAGGGACTGTTTTTGTTGTTTAATGTTGTTTGTTGGGTTGGGCTATATATATGTGTGTCCTAGGTTTTTTTGTTGTGTCAGGGAGCGGGTTTAGTGGGGGTTGTTTGTGTGTGAGGAGGGGTCACCAATAGCGGGAAGCCTGCGGCTGAAGGTGACCTCCCCTGGGAGTTTGTGTATCATTATGTGTTGGTTTCTGACAATTGCTTATTGAAGAGCTGTTCAGGATTATGGCTTCAATCGATTCTTCTTTTGACCATTGTTTCCTTGGCGATTGGAAGTGGTAAAGCGCTTTTCAGCAGTCAGGAAAAGAATGTTGCTACTTCGAACCTAAGAACTAACAGTGGAAAAGAAGAAGAGAAGCTGAAGAGAATGAAACCGAAAGCAACCTGGTGGAGCTTGGCTGGAGTCTGCTGAGGAGAAACTGGTGAGCAGCTGCAGTGCCCAGCTGGAACCCCAACGAGAAGGAACCTGCATGTGGCGGCGGAGCCCAGCTTTGGTCATGCGAGGAAGAACCTGCAGCGCTGTCAGTCAGGAAGCTGCTCCTGGAGAGACAGAGGTGAGAGGGAGAGTGGATTAGCGGATTAGCAGTGGAGCTATGCATGATGATTCAGCAGGCTCACCTGGTGCTCAACTGGGTTTTGCAGGAGGAGCTGCTGGTGCTGCTCATCAAACCGGCTGGTCTTCAATTAGCCATTGCTGAGGCAATGATGGCAAAGCTTGACCTCAGCAAGGAGCAAGGAGACAGCAAGGCAAGCAACACAGTGCAACATGGGCAAGAAGCTTGCAGCGGAGTCAGCAAGCTGCACAGCCCCAGGTAAGCAGCAACACAGCATGACAGTGGAGGAGCTTGAGGCTGAGGCGGCGTGCCGCATGGCCCCCAAGCGAGCAGTGACATGGCAACTGGTATGCTGGCATTGCAGTAAGAGGGGACACCATGCCAAGCAATGCCGTGAGCCTAAGCTGGCGGAGAAACGGAAGCCTCCCGGGAAGCCTGGCTGCCTATGCGGGCTGTGGGTGCAGTGCAGCGTTAATGACAGATGGCTCACCGTGCTTGTTGACACGAGCTCATCAGTTTCTCTGCTATGTCCAGCACACTGAGAGAGGCACATCAGACGGATGGGAGGCATCCACCACCTCAGCTCAGGTCAGTCACCGGCAGCCAAGTCGATGTGGTGGGGAGAAATGGTCTCATTGGAGGGTCTGGGTTGAGTATGTGAGTTTTGGCTCACATCCATATGGGAGGCTTGCTTTCTCAGCTTGGATTTCCTGACAGTGGCTGGGGCCCGGGCTCGATCTCAGGAAGGAAATGCTAGGCTTGGAGACGGGACACGCTGACAACAGCCTCACTAGCATTGTTGGCACGACAGACAATGGAGAAAGCGGAAGGCAGTGGAGAAGAGCGGTGCTGCTATCAACGTCCCCGATAGCAGCAGACTTGTCCCTTGTCCAGTGGACAGAACTCCCACAGAGATGCAGTTTGGAGCCCGTGCTCTGGATAGACTGCAGGGTGGCAGCGTACCCCAGGGACTTTGTCTGGACTGTGTTGGAATTTTAAGGATGGGGCAGTGGCTATGGCTACAGGGCACTCAGCCAACCAGGAGCTGGAATGCAGGGAGGCACACGCCCTAGTTAATTAAGGGGTCCTGTTTATGTTGTTTATGTTGGTTAGTTTAAGTTATGTGTATGTGTTTATTGGAATGTTCTGTGCTGGGGTGTAGGTGTAGCTGTGTGGGTTTTGTGTGTTGGGCT